AAGAGAAATCCACGCAGAGATGACGAGGAGAAAAACCTGATGAAGGGACAGAGAGAGAAAAAAAGAAACGATTTTTTTGATGTTCGCTATATCTCCTTTCGGTTACAGTGTAATATCAAGAAGGTGATTGAAAACCGAAAATGAAAATCAAATAAAACTGGCAACAAAGCTGCAAAAAAAAAAGAAAAAACAAGCCTTTTTGTAAAGTTTTGCTAATTTTAATATGTTTTGCATGGATGCCTGATTCTTCTCGCAGTGTTGACTGAATCGTTCCAAGCCAAGCGAATCCATCCAAGTCTGCTTATTCAGATTCAATAGCATCTAAATGTAAACAACAGCGCATCAATCAATTCAGAATATTCGCTATCAATCAACACGGCGGATTAATTCCTTGAAAAAAAAAAAAGAAAAAACTACCTTTTGTTCCAGTTCATGTGTTCTGTAGTTGATTGGTATTGAATAATAGTGCCGATTCAGGCCATGGATCAGTGCCTGGATGGAGGGCTTTTGCAGATGTCCGAGATTTGAGGTGGTTTGTCGTGGCTCCTGATTCAGAGCTATTGATTGCGGATTGATTGTCCGGAAAGCATCGATAACAACCTGAAGAAATTCCAATTTGCCTCATAATTTCACAGGAAATATAAAAATGCCTCACAATTTCACAAACCACTAAAACACATAAATATTAAAAAAAATTCAACCCCAACTTTCCGAAAATTTTGAAAAAACCACATCTGCTCTGGTTCTTCTTTCCCCAACCCATCCTTTCCCCCTACCTTACTTTAACTCTGCCTTTCCCCCGGCCCTCCTCCCCAAGCACTGAGAAAATATTTTTTTAAATATTTCTTTTTTCAAATATTTTTTAGCATTCTGTCAGTTTCCACACTGCTGCGATAATCCGAGTCGTTCGGGTAAATGTACTAGGGCAGCAGCAAAAAAAAAATCCTGAAAACCAAGACATCTCAAAAAATTACGATGAGATCGGTTTTCCGAGCAAAAAAAGTTGGGCGCTGGCCAAACCAGAAGTTGCATAACATTGCACAAAATCGCCAAATTTACCGCACTGACACTGAAAACACGTAAACGAAGCGAACCTTGCCCTTGACGGACTGAATCGGATCAACGACAACAGCAACTGCGCGATCAGAAAGAGCTTCAAAGCTCTGCTGCGTATTAATATCGACGCCGGAGAGCCAGCATCCAAATCCGGGATGTGAGTGGTACCAGCCAACAACCATTTCAGGCCGTCCAGTTTGCCTCAACATATCAAGCATCTTGGCTTGAAACACCGGGTCCACTGCTTCGACCGAAACTCCCTAAAAGCAAGAGATGATGCAGAAACGCAAGGAAAACCTCAAAAATTGTGTTTGCATGCTAAAACCGTCAAACTGGGTTTTGAGGTTCTGACGCATGCAGCAAATATTCCAGACCTCATTTCCTCCAGTTACTATCTCTTTGGACCGACTAAAAATACACTGTAAGGTTGCCGATAATTTTTTTACCAGGAATCATAACTGGGGGCACACTACTGTCGATGCGAAGGTGCGTTTTTTGCACAGTTCCCCGCAAATTTTTATCGCTAACGACATTGTTTTTTCCGGCAAATGCTTCTAGCTAAAAGAACTGAGACTGGCCATCAAGACTTTCAGAATGCATTCCCTCAAAATTACAGGTTTCTAGCTTCTCCGGTTCCAAAGTTAGCAATTTACGCGCCAATGATTTTCACAGGTCCGTATGTGGCAGTTACGTGGGCAAGAGCGTTCATTTTGGGATAGAAGCCTGTACATGCGTGCAGATTTAATTCCTGAAGTTTTAGCTTCGTAGCTTTTGTAGGAGTAGAGATAAAAATTCGGTACAGATGCACACAGAGACAACCCCTCGACAATATGCATTTTTGCATTGCATAGATGCAAAAAAGCATAAAAACGGGCTCGTGTATAGTCGGAAGAAGTCAAATCGAAAAATAAGGAGATCTAACTTCGAGTAGGAGGCTGTACTGATGATTCTCACTGATTACCAGACATACACACACACACACACACACACACATACTCAGCTGTTGTTTGTTTATTCAATTGTTTACTTGTTTATCACTTACGCGTTAACATGAAGTAAACATTACATAAGACGTAAGTGCCAGTTTGAATTTTTTTTTATAATTGAAACTCATACACTCAGTTGTTGTTTGCTTATTCATTTGTTTTCTGCACTTATGGCTCTGTGTGTGTTTACAGCTAAGGGATGAAACAAACTACTATAATTTAGTTAAATTATGTAATTTTAATAATTTAATGAAACTAGTCTAATTTTGAATAAAACTAATCTAATTTTGTTCGCCGGTACAAATTTTATCCAAATCCATTATCTCGGTCTTCGTATTACAAATATACAGTGTGATTAGTTGTTGACTAAATTCTACAATGAATTCTAACTTACTCTCGTTTTTGTACTCTTTCTTGCATAAAACTTAGGGATGAAACATATGCAGAATCTAAAACATTACATGCTGTTCGGTGACAGATGATGTGGTTTTTGCACTATAATTTATAACTATAATTTTACACTATAATTATACTATAATTTTACACTATAATTTTTTCTCAATTATGCACAGAGAAACGACAAGAAAAAAACACAGTATGTATGGTCAGAGTGGGGTGAGCAAAGGCGAGTAGTCTAGAACGGTCCCCGATGACCTATACTCGATTTCGCGCATTACTTTGCTCCCCAAAATCGCAGTCGGATTTTCGCTAATACCATCCAATACCTGCATTGTTACCGGTTCTGCGAGGAGTTTTGTTGTTTCCTAGTCGTTCTTAGAGCGTTCCTGTGTTTTAGACCTGCGATTTAGAGCTTAAACGAGGAGGGGGGGGG